ACCATTCAAGACCTTTGGATTGCTGGAGCATTCTTAGGTGTATTCTATCTTTTGTTTCAATGTTGAAATTTAATTGTGTTTGTTTAATTGCAAATATGTGGAACTAAACTCGTTTTAGTTAGAGGAGAATTCAAAGCCATGAACATATATGTGATATGAATTGATTACATCCAGTTATGATTTCATAAATCGTGAATACAATTCACTTATTTGTTTGATTGATAACTTATTCTTGTGTGTTAATTAAGGATGCATACTTAGTTTGCATGCAGGGATTTGATGCTAGGATATAAGGGAATTTCACCTAATCGTTATGAACTTATATTCATAAGTAGTAAAAGTCACTAGTCATGATTGTGTTAAGTGAATTCTTGGCAGGAGTATCATCCAGTTCATAGTTACGAATGCCTCGTCAATGCTTATGATTTTCATAAAACTTAATGATCTTTTATATGTATCTCTATTATGCAGTTCATGTAGGGAACTTGATAACAATAATTTGGTTGTGTCGCTGAGTCCAATTCAATGAATTTAGGAAAATTTGAAAGTTAATTTGTGCTTCTCATGATTAATTTGGAGCATTGTCATTCATGGTTTATCGAAAGAATAACTGGAAATCGATTCGTATGCATATGTGTCATGTGTGGAAAAGGACCCTCTAACTAGCCATTCACCCATTCAATTCACCAATCTCGTTTCAAATTACTTAGAGTCTTAAATCTACTTGTTTATACTTTAAATTCGTCAAAAAACCCAATCCCCTTTACTTTATTATGTCAAATTAGTTAGAATCTGTCTGAACTTGTGTTTTAAGTGTTTTGAGTCTTACTAGTCTTAAATTCGTCCAAATAACTCCCTAGAGTCTGTTTTGAGTCTAATTGCTAATATTGTGCTGTTTTGAGTCTGCTTCGTGTGTTTTGAGTTTTTTAGAGTCTAGTTAAGTGTTTTTAAGTCTCGTTTTGTGTTTTTGAGTCATATTTGTGTAGATTAGCAGCCCTAGTTAATCTCCGGCCTAGAACGATCCCTACTTATCCATACTACAACTATCTTAATAGGGTTTAATTTGTGTGCTAGTTAATATTTATGAAAGTTGACCAATAACTAGGCAATATTTATAAAACTAAACCACTATTTATGAAAGTATAACAATTACTATACACTATTTATGAAACTATACCTAATAACTAAGTACTATTTATGAACCATGACCAAGAACAAGGCACTATTTATGAAAGTGAACCAAGAACTAGATACTATTTATGAAACTAGACCAATAAATAGTGTAGTATCATTCAGTTTAATAAATAGTGTTATAAATAGTGTAGTATCATTCAGTTTAATAAATAGTGTTCAATTTCATAAACAATATCTGTGATGGACGTGAGGTCCAGCGCATCAGGTTTTTTTTTTTCATATTAAAATTATGTCTTTTTCATTAAAATTTAAGTTCTTTTGTTCTTTTTATTAAAAGTTAAGGGTTTTTTTTTATTAATAGTTAATTCTTTTTCATTAAATAAAGTTATAACATGGTTTTTGGTTAAAATAAACTTAGCACAAACCCTTTTTATGAAAGCTCCCTTTTTTATTAAGAGTGTAGTTATTGACACTTCAAAATTCTCATTGTACACTTCAACATTCTATATTTAGAAAGAAAAAAAAACATCAGAGGAGTGCACAAAGAAATTTTTGGAGTGTCATATCAACACAGTTCATTTAAAATTTAATATTGAATAACTTATTTTCCCTAATATAAAATGACTGTTTTTGTCACATCCCGGCCCGGGCCCCCATCACATCCAAGGCTCGACTCCACCGTAGCACGATATTGTCCGCTTTGGACCCCAACCACGCCCTCAAGGTTTTGTTTCTGAGAACTCACACAAGAACTTCCCAGTGGGTCACCCATCCTGGGATTGCTCTTGCGCAAACTCGCTTAACTTCGAAGTTCCAATGGGATCCGAAGTTAGTGAACTCCCAAAAAGCCTCGTGCCAGGTAGAAATGGGAATATATATATATAAGGCTTACAGAATCCATTCTCATGGACAATGTGGGTGTTACAGTTTTGGCCCAAAATGTTTTTATGATAATGTTTTTTTTTTCTGGGAATACACCATCAAGCCCAATGTGAAATAACCTACATCTCAAGAATATTTTTTTCTCAAATCTCATACCTATTTTCATCCTCCATTGTAGAATAAAATAATCCTAAACCCACAAAACACATATCCGCACATTTCGATGAAAAACCAATTTACGTTTTATGAGTGAAACATAGAATCGAAAGTTTAGAGGCTCTACAAGAGGTATGACTTAATATTTTGCATCAACTTAAGTGATGTCATATGGATGTTCAAAACCTAAACAACGAGACAATCTTTAAAATTGTAAAGAGACTTTGGTAGTAAACACATTTCAATAGATCTCTACCGAAAATATAGAGACACTCATTTGGTATCTACTAACGATTTAAAACAATTTCGGTTGGAACTGTATACGTTTTTTGTTGGAAGCTACTGAACTTTTAAAACAATTTATTCCTAGAGATTTTGGGGTTGAGAGGGTGGTTTGGAAAGTTAAGTGGGTGTATTAAGATAATTCTTTATTTGAAAAGTATATGTGAGGTGTTTTCAGTAAGTGAGGTCGATTTAACAAATTGTGTGTGTCAATAAAACCATACCCTTATTAACTTAATCTCACAAGAACGTCCATAAACCTAGAGTTATTTTATTGACACCTCACACAATTTTAATATTAAAGTACTTATAGTCTGTATCTGTATTTAGGCCCTATGAGAGTTTAAATTTTTTATAAATAAAATTAAAATTAAAAATACCCCCCAAGTCGTTTTTAACTATAGATAACTTGTATCCTAAGATTCTTATTCTTCAACCTCTCAACCACTCTCCCACCTTCCATTGTTAAACAAAGCCCTAACTGTAAATGCCTTGGTGAAAAAACTTATTTTTGAATGGAGCATGACATCGTCTGTTTGGAGGCTCCCTATGCGGTATGACTTCAATTTTGTTTAATTATTTTATATCAATTTGAATGACCTTGTAATGCTTGGGAAAACTTAGTTCCAAATTCATATTTTCAGTACGTCCCTACCGATACTTTTAACGATTTTTGGTAGGTTCGACCAAATAGGTAAAGTAATTTAATGGATACATGCTGAAATATTAAATCATTCCATTTTACGTACTCTTTGGTTGAAAGCATTGGAAGGACGTGTGACATTTGATTGTGGCCAGAGGTGGGCTGAAATGCCTTTAGCCTTTTCGGACCTCATTAAGATTTAGTCCTACCCTTCAAGGTGTAGGATACCTCAGACTCAGCCAGAAAAAGATAAAAAAAAACACCCAAAAGTTATCATAACTAAATGAAATTTCAGTTGTGGGAAGGCCTAGCTTAAAAACCGACTCATTCATTCTCCTTACCCAAACAAGCAACAAAATAAATCAAATTGCAGAGAGGATGTATTTTGTTTTTCCTTTTTGTCAACAATTGAATGGATGTATCATGTATCATTATGTCAAAATTTGAGTGCCCTATGAAGGTATGGATCCTGTGCAATTGCACAATTTGCTCCTCCTTCACAATGTTGTGTGGTACCAACGAAGACCTTTACTTTTATAGATTACATAACCACAATAACTTCACTCTTGCACTTAATATTACGGTCTAGTGGTATTCGTCTTCACTTAAAAGTGAGAGGTCTTAGGTTCGATTCTCGCCAAAGACGAATTTAAACCATATTATTATAGCTAGCCCATTGGTGAGACTAAACTCACCCTCTTCCCTTAGACCATCTCTAACCCTGGCCTATAACCTATTTTTTCCTTTCTATTCCCCCCCCCCCTCAAATCCAACCCAAGCCAAGCTTAAAATTGGACCTAAAACCTAAAACCTAAAACCTAAAACAAAGCTGGATTTAGCCCAGGATTACTGGGGTTGGCCCACCATATATGTATATTTTATTTAGTTTTATATTTATAAATTCAATGAATCTAACAATTAAGATCTAATTTGATGAAATTCAACGGTAAAAACAAAAATTTAACGGTCCAAATTTAAATCTAACGGCTAAAGTAATTAAAAAAAATCTTTTATGTGTTTCATATTTTTTTTCATAGTGTTTAACGAGTTTCATGATGTCAGTTAGTGATTTTTTAGTATTTGTCAGACTTTAAATATTTTTAGATTAAAATATTCATAAAATTAAATTAGGATAGTCTACATAATTTTTTCTTTTAAAAGGTTACTTTAAGAAAAATATTAGCCTAAATTCATTCTTTAATAATCTAGGGCTAAAATTTTAGGCCAGAAGAGTTTGAGCAGAAAAATTGTTTCTGGATTAAAACATAAATTTTCTGGGCTAAAATTTTTTTGTTTTAGACCAAGGGTTGGAGATGGTCTTAGTGTAAATAATATTTTTTGTCAAAAAAAATAAAAAAAATAAAATTATCCTCATCATAAGCGGATTAAGAATTCCAATACATCTAGCTTTTTCTTAATTAAGTACAAATAGAATAGGAAAACTCATCTGTCCATATTACTCATTCTTACCAATTTGGTATCAGAGCCAATCCCTGGCCGGAAGTGTGCCGACGAGGACGTCGGGTCCCTAAGGGAAGTGGATTGTAACATCCCACATCACTAGGGGTGAGGATCCTATAAGCCTTATATTTATATTCTCATCTCTACATAGCATGATGCTTTTTGGGAGCTCACTGGCTACGGGTTCCATAGGAACTCCGAAGTTAAGCGAGAAAGAGGCTAGAGCATTCCCAGGATAGGTGACCCACTGGGAAGTTCTGCTTGCGTGAGTTCCTAGAAACAAAACTGTGAAGGCGTGGTCGGGGCCCAAAGCGGACAATATTATGTTACAGTGGAGTTGAGCCCGGGATGTGGTGGGGGCTCGGGCCAAGATGTGACAAAGTGACTAAGAGACAACATTTTTTTAACAAATGATAATATCTACACTAAAAGAGAAGGGGTGCACTTAGTCCACAATGGCTTACAATAATATGGTTCAAAAATTGAACCTAAGACCTCTCACATACAATAAAGAGGAATATGACTAAACCATAATATCAAGTGGCGACTAAAAGACCATGTTAACTCTATAATATTTCTCCCAAAAAGTGCGGCATTGGGTAAATATTCCAATATACATATGTCCAAACAAAGGTCTATCTTGAGTTATTTTAGGTTTTGGGCCTCTCTGAAACTGATTGATCAGTGTACAACAATTCCCAACTTGCTTATATTTGTTCTGCCAACAATTATTAATTTGGAAATTGCGCACATATATTATCATTGCTGACGTTGACGAAGGCGATAAGTAGGAAGAGCTAAGAGATGATTAGCCCTTGGAACCGTTAGACCGAACTCCTCCGTCATGTCCAACTCAGTTGGCAACATATTATTTGGAAGTTCCCAATCAAAACAATGCACGAGTTGTGCCACCAATAGCAGTACCATCGTGATGCCTAACTGCATTCCAGGGCAACCCCTTCGACCGGAGCCAAACGGAATAAATTGGAAGTCACGTCCGCGGAAATCGATATTGCTGCCATCAAACCTTTCTGGTATGAACTTGTCTGCATCAGTCCACACACTCGGGTTCCTGCCAATTGCCCATATATTGATCATAATACGGGATTTTCCAGGTATGTGGAAGCCATTAACGTTGCAGTCCTCAATGGCTGCATGGGGAAGCAGCAATGGTGCCACTGGATGAAGCCTCATGGTTTCCTTCACTACCTTGTCCAAGTACTCCAACTTCTCCAAGTCTGATTCTTCCACCATTCTCTCCATGCCGACTACATTTTCTATCTCCTTCTGGACTTTCTTCATTACCTGTGGATGCTTGAGGAGTTCGGAGAGTGTCCACTCAGTCGATGTTGCTGTAGTGTCCATCGAACCTGAGAGCATGTCCTGCAACGAAATTGTTGTCCAAAATAAGCACCATTACTTGTTTCGTAGAGAACCATCGTGATTCATATTCGCAATAGAGCAATAAAAACAAGCATGTCAATATATATGAATTAGTATCATATTACTTACCAACATTATAGCTTTGATATTGGAGCGTTCAATTCGGTACTCAGACTCTACTGATCCCATGAAGCCCAACATGACATCAACAAAGTCCTTAGGTCTTTCTTCGCTGGTAGACTGAAGATGCTCGTCGATGATCTTCTCAAAAAAGTCATCAAACACCTTGTGAACAACCTTCATGCGCTTAGTTAACCCCTGGAGGTCAAGTGGAGCAAGAAAAGGGATGTAATCACCAAAGTTAGGGGTGGCAGCCAAATGCATGCCCTCTTGGACCACTGCCTTGAAACCCTTCTCATCCAATTCTTTGTCCTTGTACTTCTTCCCGAACACCATCAGGCAACTAATGTCTGCGCTGAGAGACGAAACCTTGGCACTGAGATTCACAGTAACACGATCACGAGCAGCCTCTTGAATAAAGTTAATCAAGAGGGCAAGCTCTTCTTTCCTCGTGGACTTGAAAGAGTTGATCTTGTGGGCGCTAAGCAATTCAAGGGTGCACATCTTACGCATGGTTCGCCAATAAGAGCCATACTCGCCAAAGGACAAATTCCTTTGTCCCCAAGAGATATGCTTTGCAGCTTCAAGTGGTGGCCTACTTGCAAAATTAAGGTCATGTGTTTTGAGAAACAGCTCAGCAGCCTGAGGGGATGAGGCAATAATGACAGGAGCAAGCCCCAAGCGCAGGTACATGATGTCGCCGTGCTTTTGGGCTAGTCGATGCAGATCCCGGTGAGGGAACTCCCCTAACATGTGCAGATTTCCGAAAAGCGGAAACCCTCTGGGACCGGGAGGCAGTCTCTTCTTTTTGTTGTTGCTTTTGGTCCATGCTTGCAGCACATAAACAAGTGCTAGCAACCCAACAATTGCACTAACCCAATCCATGGCTAACTATACAGAGCTAAGGTTTGTGTTCTCAAATGGTGGACTAGTTTAAGTGCTGGTTTAAAAGCACTGTAAATATTTATAGGGATCTCACCACTAGGTTAGTTACAATATCAATGACATGAGTAGGGGCAATTTCAATCTCTTATGTGGGGATCCAAGCGTTCCTTGGTTATTTATCCGGCACTAAAAAGGGAACTAAAAACAGCCACTTAGGTTAGCCTGGTGGTGAGTAGTGATGGGTTTGGTTTCATTCAGTTTGGGTTTTTGCCAAAGCCGCAACCGAACCAAAAATTTTGTTTCGGTACAATTAGGTTCGATTTTCTTTCGGGTTTTTTCAGTTCGGATATATTTTTAGTTTGGTTTTGTTTAGTTCAGTTTCGGATTTTTTTTTCTAAATTTTATAAAACCTTTTTTTTTAATATGAAATTTAGAAAATGAGCTTGCATTGGTAGACTAATAATAAAAAAATGAGGAAGGTGGGAAGGTACAAGATCATATAAACAATTATATTCTATCAACAACCTCAAATGCAAAAAAAAAATAAAAACAAATAAAAACAAATGATCACCATATCCATTCCGAAAGCAAAACAATAGAAAAGCTCTTCCAAGTTCCAAAATAGGCACATCATTTGTGTACTCAATATAAATTAGTTTCTCAGAAGTTGTCATCCAAAACTTTCCTCTATAACCAACAGAATAACTTCCTTAATTGAACCAAGTATGCTTCTTGAAAAAGCCCTAGACGTAGTTTCAAACTTGGCAACAAAGTTTCACAAAAGAAACATCACAGGCGTACATTCATAAAGTGTTAAAAGGGATTCGATTTGGTTCGGTTTCCAAACCTCCAAAACCGAAACCAAACCAATAAAGTTTGGTTCGATTCAGTTTTTCCTTTTTCTGTTAGTTTTTTTTTTTTGTTTTTTTTCAGTTTTCGGTTTCGGTTCGATGTTCGGTCTGGATTTTTTCTGTCTTTGGTTTTTTGAATTCACCCTAGTGGTCAGGGTCGTGATAGGCACGGATAAGTAGACTGAGTATAGGGTTCAAAACCTTACCGTTGAAAAACACACGATCGTAGTAAAGTCTAATGCCCAGCCATGCCTGATTAATTTTGTGTTTGTTTCAATTATATAACTGATTAATTTTAATTTGTTTTTGCTCACGTCTCGATCTGGTGTCAATTAAAATTAGTAAGAAGTGGATATCGAGGAGGAAATAATTTTATAAAAAAGGGTCGCATCTTTGTTTCCTTGTGTTTAGTGAGTTTACTGGTTATATTTGGATGGATGTAAATATCAAGGCAAACTTGTGATATGATGTCGATCGTTCTTATGATTCTAGTACAGTATATTCAGCCGGCAGGCAGGCTGGGTCGTATTTGATTTGTCCAAGAAGCGATATTCTATTTAAACTAATCTAAAGTAGATGAACGGAATCGAGGTTTGAGTGCACAAGGAGAGCATACTATTGTCGCTAACTTGACTACATCCACATTTGCTAGAATATAAAGTGGTTTTAATTCAAGGGAACTTTAACAAAAAGCTCCCGGTACTGTTCACTTTAACGAAAAACCACATTTTTACACTAAAAAGCCAATCATGGTACTATTTATTTTACCCTTTATTTTATCCTTATCGTTAAAACTCAAAGTTATCAAACCCTTTTCATTAGTTTTTTTTTTTTTTTTTTGTTTTTTCAAAGGGAAAGTATCAAATCTCACACACAAGACAGAACAACACCTCCTCCGTTGGTAGATTAGGGACCGCAAAGACCAAAAAATTGTTGAAGAAATATCAAAATCTTACTCATGCCATGGCCATAAACAGGAACTAAACTCACATTTCTACAAAAGAGAAAATTAATTCGACAGATCTCCTGGTCCCTACAGAAAGGAAAAAGAATTTCACATTCTTCCAATAGGGGAGGGAGGATTAAGAAAATCTGATTAATTCAATAGATCTCCTGGCCCCTGCGAATTCGCATTGAATGTGAAGACAATCCAATGACGGTGATGAATCTACTCCTACAAGAAAAGGGTGAACTAATTGCTCTAAGGTTCTGTTTGGACCCAAAATAATACTTTGGGCCGAGTCCATGATTGTTTCCGGTCCAATAAGAAGTATTAGGAATATTCCTACCTTGGGCCTAGCCCAGTAGAGTTCAACCAAATTCTATCAGAAAATGGTTTCGCCTGGATAAGAGTGAAGTGGTCGAATCCTAGTACAATAAGGATTCTTTAGAAGCTAAGGATGCTTTGAATCAGAAAAGATGTCGAGAGTCAAGGGTTGAATCTGAGTGATCAAAGAACTTGGTTTAGAATCCTATAGGAATTAGGATTGGTTAAGACCTAATCAATTTGGGTTGAGGAATTCTAATCCGAGTGAAATTCTGACTCGATTATTGAGGAAATTGCTACTATAAATAAGAAAGGGGTGCGTCATTCAAGGCCCTCTAAATCAACACACAATTGGCCTGTGCAAACAACCTCTCAAAGACCTTGAGATTTTTATTTTCCTTTTCCCTGCCAACACACCTTCAGTTTGGATAAACAACACTGTGGAGTCAACCAGCATCATCTTCAATTTGCTTAAACAGCACTGAAACATTACAATTAGCCGACTGAGAAGCACCTTCAGTTTGGATAAACAACACTGCTTCAAGATCGACTAGTTATTTATCCAAGTCTCGATCAACAAGGATTTCCGAGTCCTTATTGGAAGAGGTCATCTCATTAGCCTTTTCAACAAGGTGAGATGTTACCGCGTTACTTCATTCGGCACACTGAAAGCTAAAATTGGTATTTAACTTCGTAAAACTAGTAGCCTTGTCTTTAGGCTCTAAAACCCGAAGGCTGAGACGTGTTCCTTCCTTGACCGCAGTCGCGAGATCAAGAAGTCAACACCGCGCCCAACACCACATTAACATTCATTACTCCTCGGCTGAGCTTGGTTGAAGAGTTGGCACGCCCCGCATTTGACCGAATGACATAGTTAGCTCACTAATTACTCGATCTGCGCACCACGTAGGTTAAGTAATTTTTAGAGTCAACATGTTCATAACACCATTGCGTTGGCATTACGAATATTTGAAAGGTCTGGTTGCATTTGAATGACTGGAATTTGAAACCACTAAATCAAATGAAGAAAAAGAACAGATAAATTATATAAGCGGAAAATGCTAAAATATGTTTCACATAAATCAAGTCTCAAAAGAGTCAGTACCACACGAGCAATTTTAGGTCCAAGAGTAGTGCTTCTTAGCACAATGCTACAAAGTAAATTAAAGAACCTTGGTTTGGCAAGTAATGCAGAGTCTTGAATCATGATTCACTACTCGAGCAATTTGAAGCCATTCATCCCTCTTCCGACTCTGCCAATGAGTCCAGAAATGAGAATGAAACCAGAACAGAGGACGATTTAAGTTTAAGGGACAGACTATTCTCTCGCATACATATTATTAATCCATCTAAATGATTACATGTGCCACAATGTACCACAAGAGAAGGTAAATCTGAAATTCAAAGTCCCAAATAATATTCACGGAAAGGAATTCATACCATGTATGGCTTCCATGTTGTCTTCCTTGTAAACACCGAGAGGTGAGCCATGGACAGATAAAAGCATCTCCCCAGGCTTTGGGAACCTTACCGTTTTGGGTGTCATCCCAATAGACAGCCTTTGGCTACTAACCTGCAACATAAACCCGAGTTTTCAAGGCCACTCAACGACTTTGTTGGAAAAAAAAAAAAAAAAAAAAAAAAAGCTAAGTACTAACTGCTGCCTATTCTTGTCAAAGCTCAATTTCTGTACTAATAAAGCAATAGTTCATTATTTGCTTGACAGTACCAAAATCACTAGAACGTCATATAATACTCTTCTCCAGTTTTCCCCTTTACAAATCAAGTTCCCTCATCAGTCGTTACTGTTTAAGTCCAAAGCTCTTGAGCACGGAAGATGAGCTTACAACATAATCTCCCTTATCCACGTATATTCACCGAAGCAACAAGTTTCCCTTGTAGTTTGTTAGCAAAATGGATAATCAGTTTAACACTTCTTTTAGGTCCTGAAGATAGACACATGTATACTTTGGAACTCATACACTTCATAAGCTGTTTAGGCCTTCTACTTGTTCTGAGCTATGGAAGAATATGTAATCAAACTAAAAGCTATCAACAGAACTACAATCAGAACAAGTGCCGCTCAATATAAACCAAATATGAAAAATCAATCAATTAGGCACAAACCCCAGGAGTTTGGAGAGTATCTTGCTTCCCAAGCATCAGAGAATCAAATGTCTCCTCAGAAACCTACAACAGAAATTTTAGAAAGGTAAATACGTATGTATACATATGTCTGACTGCATGGATGTCTTCACATATGTGTTTCCATGCATGCATGTCCGAGCGTGAGTGGGCTTACGGGTGTGTGTCTATTTAAACATGCCGTACGAAAGTGAACTTCTACCATAACTTATAGCGTGTGAATGCAAAATAAGCATATCACAACAGATGCAAAAACAATTCCGTGATTTTTAGGTGGCCATAAATAATAAGAGAACATACAAAGTCTCTGATCTGAAGATTATCAGCTCCCAGAATGCTTGTTCTCTCTGTCACAGATCAACTCCATCAGGTGAGAAATAAGCAAAGCAAGAACACTGAGGGTACAAAACTTAATCCTCTGATTCTAGTTCTCATGTCCATAGATTAGAATTTGCTAATACCTGCTTTACTAGAAAACTCAAAGCCACCTAAAGGCGGGATTGCAGCTGAGCAGCCAGAATAAGCCATGGACAACCGGCGAAAAAGAGTCTTATGTAAATCTATTCCATCATTCATGGACACATTTCCGTCTTTAACAAGCCATTGGACTTCCATCTGTCCATTTTCTCCATTTGATACAATCGACAGGTTTTGATAGTTGTCTTTAAAAAATTGCAATAAAGGGGTTTGCAGCTGTTCCTTGGTGAAATAGGAGCGGAGCAAACGCAATTCAGTCAGCAGATGTTCAATCTCCACATCACGAATAGCCCTAATGGCAGATATTTGCCGCTCAACTGCAAAAAAAGAAACGCACAATAGGAGCACACTGCAGTAGGTAATCACCAGAGCTTTACTACAAAGTACAATCCTAAATTAAATTAAATTTGAGAATCTAAAACGAAAATTATACCATCTGGGTCTGTGAATTGAGCTTCTTGCTTCTCAATCTGGGGCTCCTTATCATCGGCAACATTTAAATCTGGTTCGGGTGACGAGGCAACTTGCTTTACAGGTTTCCTACCTCTTTTCCTTGCCATATATATGATGATGAAGTGGTAAATTTTGCTTGCTATTATATCCAACAACACAGAGAAGGGCAAAAAAACCCCCACAAATCAAATCAACTATAAAATTCATAACGCGAATAAGAGCAAGAATAAATTGGAAGAATGTAAGTTGAAAGATGCAGAAAACAAAAGATCATTACAAGTAAAAAACGAAAGAAAAGTCGCGCAAATGTGCAATTTAGATGATTGAAGAGATGATGAAAGTAAGCAAAGTTAGGGTTTTGAACGAGGCAAGGCAAGAGGTATACTAACCGGCGACTGTCCGTCGGCGATTGGGTTGCTCGGAGCTTGTACAGTTGCAGTTGCAGTTGCAGCGCTGGGATGGGCAGGACCGGTTGCAAATGAGTTTGAATTTTGAGAGCCTGGTGGTAAACAGATTCGTTTGGGCGGATTGTGAAATTTTGATATTGGTTCACGTCTTGTCTCGACCAGGTCCAATACGACACGTACTTTGTACCAAACCAAGGATAATTTTGTTATGGAAAATTTTATTTGAACTCATTTAAACTATTTATACACCCAACTTACTCTTTGCATCTATTTAATTTTTAACTAAGCTATTAATATCTCTTTAAACCCAAATTTAATACTTAATATACCCCCATAAACCCAATTCAATAAGTGAATTTATTTTTATACCCATTGGATTTTTAATTCAGAAACTGCCGTAACAGGCTGTGCCACTTGACTGCTGAATAGTTACCGCCAAATAAGCTCATTGATTCTTCAACAGATGTAAGATTGAAATCGAAGAAGAAGACTAAGAAGATGGAGAGGAAATGGGGTTTTGGGAGTGAGTTTTGGAGATTGATTTTGGATTTAAGCTTGGTTTATGTGGCGATGTGCGGGTTTTATAAGATGGTTTCGGGTGCATTGAAATCAATTCTGTCGCTGGAGATGGTGAGAAATGTTAGTGAAAAATCTTGGGTTGTGGATGATATGAATGGCAAGTTTCAAAAATGGCTGAGTAGTAGGCCTAGACAATGGATATTTATATGTTATCCATAGAAGTAACCTTGAGAATAACGACGTCACCATTATACATGATTCTTAATCATGTGGTTTAGTCTCTCATTTGAGTTCGGATCATGATGAGACCTTGATTCCCTGGCTTGAGCTATTGCCCTATTAGTGTCGTAGTGTCAGTACATTAGAGACACTTTCTGGTTGGAACCGAATAGAGAGTTCATGAATGAACTCTCTCATTCAAACAACATTGTTGTAAGCTTCTATATGGCAATATATTTGCATTCATAATGGAACACACTAAAGTCATTAATTTTAATGTTTCCATCCAAATATCTCTTTAGTCATAATAAAGAGATATCTGATTATCTCTTCATTCATAATGAAGAAACATCCAATGATGGATTAGATTCATAATCTAATACATTTACGCTTCCATTACGTTACTCTAATTCTTCCTCATTCTTAAGGAATCCATCCTTTATTATTTCTCAAATACTTAAGGATTCACTTGACAGTTGTCATGGTTCTGATCCTGAGCTTGCATTGATATCGTCTTGTACCGATCTTGGTACAACTCATATCAACGTTTTTCATACAATATAAAATACATAAATCACCTTTCTGCGTATACATAAAGGATTATATTTACGCATTATTTCTTTGGGAGTCAAAGGGTACGTTCCCTTTGAGAAGCGCTACCTCCTAGTCTCACTAGAGTTGTTCTTCTGATTGAAGTTTATCATCATATGAGAAACTTCCTAGCATCTTTTGTCTATCATTAGGGCTTGATATAATCCAATTATATCCTGAAATCTATCATTATAGATTTCCATCCCATGTTTATAGACTATGTCTCCCATATACACTCTATCATTATAGAATGTTTAAAGTCATAACTTTAACGAAGAAGTATTCTTTTCATTTCCAGAATTAATATATCATATATGTATATATTCAAATTTAGGAACATGATTGACTCCCACTAATCTTTTGTAAACCTAGTCAACAAAAGATTCATTTACATCTTTATGAGAAATCAAACGATTTGATCTTTCTCTCATAAGACGCTTATAGCTCCCACTAGCTTGCTAAGATTCATGATGGATGGATCTCTACAACTTACATGTCTTGTGATTCATAGTTTTAGACATATATTATCAAGACTATCTTAATAATGGTTTCGGAAAGTCATATTATGTCCAAACATTGAATCACCATTTAGTTGTGGCTATTAATCTTTGAATTAATTGAAACCAAGACGACGTCAAAGATGGTTTCTTCCAAGTCAACCAATTTCTTTGATAGCAGTCACCTTAAGCTACCAATTAGCTATTAAAGGTTTCACTATTTCGGGTCAAATGGTACTTTACCATTTCCTTAAGTATATGTCATATGTACACTCAATGTAGTCATAAGGATTTTCATTCTTATTTCTTTTGAATTAAGAGGTGTAACTCTATGACATAGTCATAAAGTTCAAACCATTCAACTGAGACGGTTTATAAATCTTTCTCGACTACCTTGGAGCTTGTGGTGTAGGAACTAGGTTGTTATATTTGTTGATTATCTTGTCTCTCAAAGAACCCATTCTTTGAGTTCTATCTCTCATTCATTTGCGTCAGACAAATCATATTGTAGGATTACAATGAACTACCCAACAAAACAACATTTGTTAGTTGGTTTATAGAAGTGATATCCAAAGGTTAATTTAAGGATATCCACAAGATAATTCTCAAACAAATATTGCTTATTAGCACACAACCCCAAATCTTAACACGATTAAGACTTATCTTTCTTTCCAACTACATCCTATGGAGTTATGAAAATTTTGGAAGATCTTCTAATTGACAATCATATTGTCTTAGAAGTATATATCCTATATATGGGTAATTGATAACATCCAACAAACTAAATCTTATTAAAGTTCGTTCTTCTCCTAATGGAGAAATCCATTATCTGATGCTTCTTTCCTTGATATCTTTCAAGGAAACTGTTCTAAAGTGTTACCTTTCCTTGGATCAAATCTAAGGAGGTAAATACTTTAGACGTCTTACTCATCAACTTACATTCTTGAATTCTTTGAAACCTTTTGCAAAATATTCGGACTTGTGTTTATTCAAAATAAACGATAGACAATCGAGAGCGATCTTCGGTGAATGTCATACAACATGAGTAGTATTATGTTGTGGACAAGTGCCACTAACATCTAAGTGAATTAACCTCAACAACTTTGTGATTCTTTCTTCCTTTCCAAAAGAATAAAGATTCAAACATTTTGCCTCTATACAATTTTAACAAGAAGGCATTGGATCCGGATCTAATGATCCAAGGCATCCATCTATGACGAACTCATAATTTCTGTTTTAGAGGTATCACATCTCAGTTGGGATTAGTCACTACCTTACAATCTTTTGGGTTTTAAGCATCGTTATATTCTAAACAGTTGACACTACCATATCATCTCTACTATAGAGATAATCAATTAGATTACAATAATCTAATCATTCATTAATAAAGAACAATGTTTTGTCAAACAAAACATTCATCCATTTCTCATACGGAATTAAGTTCCTTTATTCAAATTGGAATGTAAGGACAATCTTTGTTTTTCCATTTTCTTTGGTAGTTCATATGAGGAAGTAAGTACTACTTGCTTTCGCAGAGATCTACATTTGATTCACGTTCCGAATGTGAAGTACTTTCTCTTCTCTCATTAATCTTCTACTTCTTATTAGCCACACTTTTACAACGATTGTAAAACATAGTTACTAATACGGAATCAAGCATTCAAGTGGAAGAACCAACTGTTTTGAACTATTCAAGAACAATTTACAACACCTTCGAAAGGTGTGTTCTTGACATTTGCAAGACATTTCTTGCAAATACCCCTTCCAATGTCCATCCTTTCGTAAAGAAAGTTTGTTCCCTTGGAGTTATTTCGCCTTCTTCATTTGACTTCTCCTTTGACTACAATAGTCATGGTCCCTAAACTCCCACTATCTCTCTTGAAACTTATTTCAATTGTGTTATATACATCAAACAATTTGGAGAGCGTGTGGTTATTGTTCACTATATAGTTTACAATAAACTTAGTGAACCATTTGGATAGGGACACAAAAGTGAAGTCCTTGCCTAGTTTCCGTCTCGTGAAGTGGTTTAACACTTCAACACTCAATGATTCAAAATCATCATAAGTCCATGTTGATGGACTATTTTTGTCAACCAACCATTATGTTCTAAACATAATTACAAACTTTCAAGAGTTGTTCAAGGCAACTCTCATTTCTTCATACAACAATTTGTAAGTGAAGAATCATGGCACATAAAGTGTCCATGCCTTTGTGCTTACTTCTCAAGTTCCTTGTTCATGTAACAAAGAAACGAGCACTAATGTTTGCGTTAACTAAGGGTTGTTCAAAGCAACTCTTACTTCTTCATACAACAATTTGTAATTGAAGAATTATGACATTAAAAGTGTTGTCCTCTTTATGATAGACTTATCTAACACGTTCTTCCAATGATACATTATCAATAGGAAGATTGCGAGGATGAGACTACTTAGGTACATATACAAGCCATTAAAGACAATCTATGGGATTGTAGTACCAAGTCCGGAAACTAAAGCTTTCGGCTCTTTCTTTGTCAAGTTTTGAATAGCGTTTGCAAATATATTGGTAAATAAATACATAACGAATATAAATTGATTGATTTTAAGCCATTTGATCCGGGTCTTTAAATCAAATAGCACTACCCACTATTTTTGGTAAATTCCATATCCCTCATCGGAATTCGAGAGTTTTGGAGGAAACTCTTAGTAGGGTATGAGAGACTCATCATTACCAAGCCCACCTCATAATGATATGATGTTGGCTAGCATCAATAATAATGAGAGAGTACGCTTACTCATTTGCATCTCTAGCAAGTACCCATCTTATTTGGCCTCTAGAGAATGAAGCCTCACAATGATATGATGTTGGCTCCATTGCCCTTAGTGAAGTCATTCCCACCATGCAAGTTCGAGTAGGGGTTCAAGAACAACTTCACAATGATATGATGTTGATCATTCTCGTTGCCTACCTTCACAACATCATGTATGCATATAGAACTCCTCCTGAGTGTAAGCATGCACTTTGTACTCCCCCATGATAGGGTGAAGTCGGTGTACGAGTCACAAACGATCGGAGCCTACCACGGTGGAAGGCCACAAAAGAGTGTTTAAAGCACTCTCACGCTTATCAACTTAATAATGATTTGGTTGAGGGTTTTAGGTCTCATCACATATAAGCATGCACTTAATCTTATTAAACAATTTGCTCCTATTACAACTATTGATCCATGTGATTGACTTAGTTGTATATGATACTCCCACTATGCTTGTAAAACGGTTTTTAAAGTAAGAGTATATGATACTACTAACATAAGGTTTGCATTAATTGATGGACTATATAGTTGCCTTA